CCCCAACCCCCCCACCCTCGTTTTGTTCTTCTGGCATGCCGGCACTCTGGCACTTTCCAAGGTATACCTTGTGGTTTTTTTGGCACTCCAGCCAAAAAACGTTGCCTACCCCTGGAATAGCCAAACAGGAGGCTGCTTTCAAACTCCACTAAATGTAGCCACTTCTGCTCCCTGGTAAATGCAGGACTGTCCCTTGTTCTCACAAAGTTCGTTCAAAACACAACACATTGTAAGACGTGTACGCTTCTTGTACAAGCCTCAACATTAGACTCCTCCATGTATCTTTTCATCTTCCGTTTGCTGAACGACTCTGAAACACACAGCTATTTAGCATGTAATTAAACAATTATTTTCACTTATTCAAACATCCAAATAAAGGCTTCCTTAATCCAAAAAGCAGAAGGTAAAGAGAGTTTTTCAAAATGAGTGGAGGAATGGCATGTATTATCAACACCCAGAGTGCAGAATTTCTATTTTTATGGCAGAAGGCAGTCAAGCCCTTCTAAGGATCAAAGATCTTCAGAGCAACACAGACCAACAAGTTGCTGGGTAGGCACTGCTCTGAAGGCAACTGATGATGGGCTCTTAGCATGGAACACAACACCCAGAGCACAGTTCAGGTGTAAATGGGCCTCAGGTCTTTTTGAACTTTTCAGTGTTTATCAATGTTTGCTTTCTGTTTTGGATTTTATTTTAATTCTATAAGTTGAATGAAGACTACCACCAATCTGTTTTTTTTCCCTTCATTAATATAATCTATTAGCGTTTATGGTGCATGTCCCTTCCAGCCCTAAACTTTCCTATTGCATAAATCCATCTCAATGGGAACAGGACTACAAAAATTCACACACACACCTAGCAAGACAGGGCTTTAGGTAATGTCACTAGGAAAGAACTAGTATTCTTAATTCAAGTTAGCTAACACAAGTTAACTAAGGCTTTGTCTTCTCTAAAACACAAGTATTTTTTCCTAATAAAAGTTAACTGATTCAAAGTAAAATCCTAGCGAACACCAGCCAGTTTATAGTTTTCACCCTGGTCAGCAGTTTAGGTTAAGAGGTATGGGGAAAGCTAGTCTTTATCAGTTTAGCTCATGTGAAAACTTCCTGGATTTGGATTTTAACTTAAGTTTAATTTAGTCTTACCATTTTTTCTAGAGAAAATGAGGCCTCAGTGTTTTTCTCTCTGCAGAGTTCTAAAGCTAAGCACATACCCAGGTTTGTGCAATTATGGGTGTGGACAGAAGTAATCTTTGAATCATTTCCAAGCATAATGGTCTTTGTTTCAAAACAGTACTGCTTCAGTGCAGGACACAGCCCCTGCAGTGCTCCACAGCTGGCTGTGCTTCAAAACTGTCCCCTTCCAAGCAGGGAGTGCTACAGAGGACTGTGGAGATCTGCTCTCTTTCAGAGTCCCTCTCTTACCAGAATCCAGATAAAGGGGCTGGCACCCCATGCCATCCTCTTTCCTGCAAAACCAGAAAGGTACCTGGTGATTGTGGCCTGGAGAACTGGAGGAATCTCTGCTCTGGGTGTCTGGGGGCTGCTGCTGCTGGCACTGGGGATGGAAAGAGCAGGGCAGGGCAGCAATGGCCAAGGGAATGCAGGGGGTAAGTTACCTGATTCTGGCTCCAGCAAGGAGGGAGAGAGCTGCGAGTGTGCACAGTCTATCCTACTCTACACCCCTCTCCCCCATCCTGTGTTGGGGGGGCGGGGAAGGGGAAGATGCGTGGAGTGCCACTGAATGCTGGAGGACCCAAGCATCCCCTGTTGTACACTAGTATATACAGTGAAGTGCTTCACAACAGTACCCAATTCAAAATGGTACTATTGTGCAGTGCTTCAGCTACTTTTGAAACAATTTCAAAGGGCAGGCACATTTGCATAGAAATCAGTAGAGGCATCCTTTGCGAGTTCCTTCCACCCCTTTCTGTATTTTTTAAGAAAGAAAAATTAAAACAAAACTTCACATGATCCAAGCAAAACCTTCTTGAAGTAGTTGACCCACACCTCTAGTTGAATCCATGTAGGCAGACCATAGATACAGGTTTGCCCACATAGAACTGACTGGCCTGTTTGCTGTGTTATGGTTCTCCTGGTGGGCCTAGTCCCACTGAACTTTAAATCTCCCTTAATTTGCGTGGACACACGGAGCCAGTTGGTGACACGACAACTGATTTCTTAGGACAACAAATGTGAAAACAGGGATGGGAGTGCAGGTCATAGGTTTGTAATGAGTACTCCATGGGGGGGACACTGAACAGAGCACACCAGCCAGTGCCCACTGGTCCTTGAACGAGTCCAAGGAGCCAGTAGATATCACCCAACGAAGCCACTTGGGGGACAGAAAGATGGCCCCACATTCACCAGGAGTCTCCCCAGCAAGAGCCTCCTTCCTGGTCAGGTAGACGGCTAACTTGGCTAGGGCCAGGAGGAGGTTGACCAGAAAGTAGGGCCACAGACAGGAAATGAGCAAGCGAAAAGGTATGGGGAGTAGGGCAGGCAGAACCCCAGCAAGAGTCTCTTGAGGGGCTTCAGCTTGGTGCACCCAGGATCTCCCTCTCCTGACAGAAGGGGCAGATGTTGGGGGTATCCATAAAACACCCAATAAAAGCCCGTGGAGACGGTTCTACGGAGGAGCTACCAGCTGAGGTCTCCGATGGCTTGTAGGATCTTGTAGGATGTCCACCACTTGGTGTCTGAGTGGGATGTGAGGCTGGGTGGTGGACTGTTCTGTGTATGATTGTGTTAGTGCTGACAGCTATGCCCACTATGGAAGTGGACTGGTTTGCTATCCCCCAGCCTGCTGAGGTGGGGCAGGGGGAGCACTGTGGGGCCTGCCAGGACATGGGCCCCCGGAGGCGCTGCAGAGGGGAGGGGCTGGGGGATCTGCGGTACTACAGCAGACCAGGAGCTTGTCCCACATTTCTGAACTTTAGAAAAGAGAGAGGTTTTCCCAAGATTAGCAGCACCAGGCCCTTTAGACATGCCTGGAAAGCAAAAGAAACCTCCCCCCTACAACCCCGCACAGTCCTCTGAAAGAAAAAAGTCATTACATTAACTCTCCTATTCCGAATGGATATTTCTCAGGGAACTTACACCTCTACAATCACTTCTATTGTCTGGTAAAACACCTGGAAAGGGAAAGCGCAGAAAGAATCACTGCCCCATCACTGCTTGCTACTATCTCCTCTTCCTCGCTTTACTGAACCCATTTTGCATCCCACCCCACGGCACCCCCGCAGCGCCCAGGGGGAGGATTGCCATGCCTGGGAAAGGAAAGATCCTCTTTAGAAGCAGAAACAAAACCAAGGGGCAGCTCAAGCAGTGGAAAGAGAAGGGGGAAGCGACATTCCCTGGTCCCCAGCTCCGGGGTCTTAAAGCACTTTGTGAAAGAAAGAAGTGTCATGCTCCCATGCCTCCCCCCCGCCCTTTTTTTTTCCTTTAAGAATTGGAAACTGAGGTATGGCCCGGGGAGTTCGTCCCATCCCCACCTGTGGTGGGCGGAGATGACCGAGGGACCAGGTAAGGAGTGGGCTGAAGGTGAAGGAAAGGGAAAGGGGGACCAGGGAGGACGCGGAAGGGGGATGGGAAGGGGGTCTGGGGGAAGGGCACGAGGAGGCCCGCGGCTCTCGCCAGTCACCTCAGGAAGCTTGTCCTCCTCGGAGTCGGAGTCGGAGTCGGAGCCGGAGCCGG